ACATCTATTGCACAGGTATATCCTTCACTTAGGCTAGAATAAGTTCTCCTTTTGTTTCTATTTGAGCATTCTTACCCTTTGTGAAATTTGTGAAGGCTTGGGTGGGTGTTTTACTTTTTTTAATGTTCTTTCTGAGTTCTCCTGTGCATGTTCCGTGCATGCATTTTGGTATTCTTATTCATATGTTATAGAGCCCTTAGGGTTTGCTCATTTTCTTTTTTCTTTCTGTTCTTAAGACTGAACATTACAGTGTAGATCATAAATATCTTTCAAAGACAATGTGTTGAAAGCTTAGTCCTGCCCATAGAATGACTGGGATGTGTTGGAGGCCCTGGGAGGTGGGACAGTGCATAAGAAAGATAGATCACTATGGACATGCATATGAAGGGGATATTGCAATACCAGGCTCTCCTCTCCTTTCTCTCTTTCCTGGCCACCATGATGTGAACAGCTTTCTTTACCACAAGCCCCCATAAGCCCAAAAGGAACAGGACCACTCACGTATGGACTGTATCCTCTGAATCTCTGAGCCAACATTCCCTCTTTATAAATTAATGGTCCCAGGTTTTTCTCTACAGTAACACAAAGTTAATTAACACATTGGATAATTTGAATTTCTATCTTCAAGTTCATGGACTCTTTGACATACTAAAATCTTATATTGAAATCTCTACTAGATTTTATAGTTTAGTTCTGTACCTGTAGCCTACAAATTTTTATCTGGTTCCTTTTTATAATTTCTATCTCCATTAATACACATCTTTTATGTATACATATTTTTGTGTATATAATATTAGTGTAGTCTTATTTTTTGTTCATGGTTTCATTTGGATCTTTGAGCATATTTATGAAATTCGATTTAAATATTTTTCTGTAAGTGAAATGCCTGCATCTTTTTAGAGATGATTCCTGGATTAGCTTTCCATCTTTGTAACAGATAAAGCCCTAGAGGTCTCAGTCCATGACCTGATGGTTCTCTTACTTTGGGCAAGCAGAACACTGAGACTGGAACAAGTGGCAAAGCACGACTGTTTACCCTATGGCCAGGAAGTAAAGGAGAGAAAGTAGAAGGGACCAGCTTCCCTAGTCTCTTTCAATAGAATGCTCTAAATAACCTCATCTCCTAAATTTTCCACCACACCCAAGCTGGGACCCACCATGTGAACATGCAAGCTTTTGAGACACACTTCTGATGGAAACAACAGCAACTTCTTTCCTATGAGTGTGTTATATTTCACTGTTTCTTATTAGCTTTCAGGTTTTCTGCTGAATATTTAGAATTTGGAATTTTGTAACGTGGCAATTCTGAAAACGAGATATTTGTTTCTGTCTCCAAGGTTTGTTTCTATTGCTTCTTGAGGATTACACTTGTCCACTTGTTTAGTGACTTTTGCAAGCTGTTTTGTATGTTTGGGGTTCTTTTTTCTTTCTTTCACTCTCCCTTTCTCTCTTTATTGAGATGGGATCTCGCTCTGTAATAGACTGGCTTTGGTCTCATCATGTATCCCAGGCTTACCCTGAACTCACAGTAATCTTTCTGCTTCAGTCTCTTTGAGTGCTAGGAGTATAAGCATGCACCACCACACTAGACTTCTCAGGTCTTTTCCGAACATGGATCCTACCTTAAACGTAGTTTCTGAAACCTCATACTATATAGTTTTGCTTTTGAAGGTCTTGATTTCCCAAAAGAAACTCTCTCCCCAGGATTTCTTCCTAAGCTTTTTATGCTACGTGGGATGCTTCCACAATAATGCCTTCACCAAAGTGATAGTAGATTATTCATTAATCCTACAACATTTATGAGAAATGCCTGCTGCTTTTCTGCTCTGAGTTCCAAGTTAGGCAAAACAAAGACTATCATCCCTCTCAGTTCTCAGGCCACCTGAGATGGACTACAATAGACACATACAATTCTTTTGAGAAGGCTCTGTTCTTTCCCAGCTCAGGGATCAGTGACCCATACAGGAAAAATAGCATGCTATATTCAAGACTGCTATAGAGCCTGGTCAGGGGCTGCAAATAAAAAAGCCCTGAAACTGTCCAACTATTTTAAATTTCTTTTTTTTTTTTTTTTTTTTTTTTTTTTTGATTCAGCATTTGTTTGGTTATAAGAAATCTTTTGTCTATTTTTATAGAGTTCTACCAAAAGCAGTGTTGTAGAGGGACAGGATACTGCAGATGCCTATGTGACTATTTTTTTACCAACATTACTTCAGGTATTTTTGCTGGGTTCATTGCACTGTTGTAGGGTAGAATACACTAAAATAATGTTCACACCTCTCCACATGCTCAACCTCTTTTGAGCTATAATTGATTTTGGTATTACACCAGTTTTCTATCTTGAATAACCATAAAATAGATTAAATGTAAAAAAGAAACAGTTCAATATGAGATCTTCCAACGGAGCTAGGAGTGAAGCCTCAGGATCTTACCTTTGATACCTAATAGAAATTCTGGTCACCAGAAGACTTGCTTTGAAACTTAATGCAGAGCAAAATAATGGTAAATGTAGCCCCAGTAATGTATGAAGTAATGGAAATAGTAAATACATTAGTTTAAACAAATGAATATTATCTATAAATAGTAAAATAGCATTTTGGGGAGCTTAACAATAATAAAATACCTAAAACACCTTTATAAAACTCGAATTAAATTCATGAAATTGAAGTGTTTAAAATTTCTTATACAGATGTCAGTAAATCAAAGATAAATTTTGCATGAAAAGGTGAGCCACAGCATAAAATTTTCCACAATCCATCTATCTGACAAATAATCATAGTGAGGCTATAGATAAGGGCTTAGAAATCAGTAAAAAAGACAAGCAATTTAATAGAAGAATGGGCGAAGGACTTAAGCATTTCACAAAAGAGGATATGCAAACAGCATAAAGAAATGGAAATTCATTTTGTCATCCCAGAAATGCAAATTACATGCAAAATGTGATACTCCTACATATTCACCAGAACATGTAATATTCAAAAGAATCCTGAAGGAAGAAAAGAACACAAAATGCAACTGAAAAAGCAAAGGCTGAAAAATGAGAATCAAACTTTCATTTATTCCTAGTAGGCAGGTAAACTGGTGAAACCAAAAACCTACAAGCTTTTATTAAATATATATTTATCCCCTGACACAATGACACAATTCCTGGAAACATACCAAAATTAAATGCACAACTATAGACATTAAAATTTAGGTACAAGAATATTTATAGCAGTACTATTGAGAGTTAACTCAAACTTTAGCTTGGTATCAAGGAATGGTAGATTAAAGAATGTTTGTAATTATATAAAATGCAAAATCAAATAAATATTATTGTATTTTTCAACATAGCTCAATGCCGAAAATACAACATTAAGCAAAAAAAAAGCCTCAAAAAAGTAGGTACACTTGAGTTCCTATTAATGGTTGAAAAAAACGATAAAACCAATTTTGGTAGCAGTAGTCAGAAGAGTAGCTGTTTGTATCCTGAGGTGCAGAGACTGAGCCCGAGGTAAACATTTTGTTCCAATAGGAGGTAGTTACACAAGTTGGTTCCTTCTCGCCAAGATATGCACTGAAGATTATTGCACTGCTTTGTATATATTTTATTCTTAAAATTATTCTAATGCCCATCAATTTGGGAACACTTAAATTCTATTTCAACAATTTTGGCAAGGATGCAGAGAAAACAATGTTTAAATACTAGTGGTAGAAATGTAAATTGTAACAACTACTCTGGGTTAGCCAATCAGGGAAATCTAGTAGGATTTCATATGTGTATATCTTATGAGACACTACATTCATTTGTTGGTATCTTAACCTTAGCGAGTACTTGGACATCTCCACAGTACGTTTAAGGAAGCATTTGGGCATTTATAGTAATAACAATAGAAACAAACTACATGTCACAGGGTAGGGAAGTGGCAAATTAGTGTGTGTGTGTGTGTGTGTGTGTGTGTGTATGTTGTTTTTTCTGAGGACTACACAGTGCATTTCAAAAGAATGTTAAATTTACATCACACAGATTGGAAAGAGCTCAACTCCTAATGTAAAATACAACTTGTGCACATACAAAGGTACAGGAACTAGGAGCCATTATCTACTAACTATCTGTTAATTAATGCCTGAGAAGTTCATTGGCAATTTTGTTTTCTGGATATTGTGTCTTTGTGCAGTTTAAACTTATAATAGCTCTTAGACTGACTCTGGAAGAATAGCAAAATGACATCACTGATTGCCTCTAAGAGATAAGCTGCCTGGATTCGAATCTAGGATGTGGAGATTTTTCACTGCATATTCCTTTGTACCTTTAAAACATTCTCTGGGAGCTTGGAAATATAGCTAGATGAGAAGGCCCAGGGGTCAATTTCCAGTACCAAACAATAAAATAAAACGATGTAACAGTAATTGAAGGAAAATAAACATTTTATATAGGACAATAAAAGATGCAATCAAGTGGGAAACAAACAATTAGGTGTACTACTAAATATGTTAGTTTTGCAGTAGGAGCACAGAGAAGCGATCTCCTAAATAGGCCTGTGGCAGCTGAGAATTCACAAGTGGAGGGGACACTGAATAACAGGTCTGGGTAGAGAAATTCAATGACTTGTGTTTTCATTACCCTAGAGTTCGGTGGGAGGCGCCCAGATACCCCAACATCCATCCCAACAGTTATTTTCCCTGAGCTGGAGCCTAAAACTCCAGGGACTGCAAGACAGCAGCAGAAGTCGAACATCCAAGAGGGAAGCAGAAGCTACTGTAACGGTGCAACACAGATCCCAGGATTAACAGGGCAAGCTACACAACACATCCTCACGCCGGCGCCACACTCCCACAATTCCCACTCGTTCGTGTAGTCCACCCGCCTTCTCCTGCCTCCCCGCATCGCTTATTGGTCAAAAGATGATTGACAGGTTTCTCACCAATCGGCTGTCTCTTCTAGGGCCTGCTCCCCCTTCAGCCGGGTATTTGATCCCAGGTGCAAGGCGGCCGCTGTGCGTCGACGTCAGCGTGCTAACGTCACGGGCGGGTCCTAGCAGTGGCCGGGCGGCTGGTGGCGGGCAGCTGGCTGCTGGCGGCGGGCTGCGCCTAGCTAGAAGGGCCGGATTCTGGTCTGGGTCCGCCCCGTCGCGCTCCGCCCCTCCGCCCCCAGTGCACGGGCGGGCGCGACTGTGGAGCCGCAACCTCCGGGTCAGGCAGGGGCGGCCGGCCTGGAGCCACCAGATGAGGTACGCTGTTTCTGGTCGCCCTTTTTGACAGGTTTTTGGGAAAACTGAGTCCCGGGATGAGGTCACCTTAGGGAGGCCGCAGCGCGGCGGCGCGCTTGTGTGCGGATTCTGGGAGCCGGGGCAGTGGGAGGGCGAAGCCGGGATGCAGAAGAGGAGCCCGAGACTAGCGAGCCTCCTGCTTACGAGGCTGGGGGTTCAGGGGTGAACGCAGGAAGTGGGGCCCTCTTCCTCCTTCCTGTGGACCCCGACGAGGCAAGAGGCCTTCAAGAAAGATCGGGAATGATGACTAGGGCTGAAGCGTGGGTTATCCCGGCACATTCATCCAGAAAAGCTGTGTTCACAACCAAAGAAAATAAAATTCAAAACATGACTCACGAATGCACTGCCACTGGTTTCCATTTACTTGCCTTGCACACTTATCTTGCCAGTTTTTTTTTAAAGCCTGCTTTTGTTTTGGAGTTAAAATGGCTTTTTATTTTTGATTCTTTTTTGGTTCAAACATACGTTGAAAACATGCAACTTAGAATTCTTTTAAAATGGGAATTTTTTCGCTGTTTGTCATTTCGTGGACGAGTCATTGAATTTGTTTGACTCTGAGATGTTTGGGTACATTTAGCAAGGTAGCAAAGTCAGATCTAGTTTTTAAGTATACTCCATTTAGTCCAGCTGAAGGGTTCTGAGAAGTAGTTCTCTTTATTCTTTCTGCCCATCTACGGCTTTCTAGAAGCAAGATTTGATAAAAGTAGTATTGTGGTATCCTGCTTTATTTGTGGAGTCTGTAATAAAATGGTAAATGATTTGTGCTTTTGAAGTGAAAATGTGTACTGTACTTTATTCAGAATGATGCAGACACATGTGTAATGTTTTGTATCATCAAGAAGCACTCATTTTTCTCAAACATGGATCTTTAAAGATTGCATTATAGAAAGCTGCATTAAAGGAATGATAACAACATCTTCTGAGGACTTTTCCTTATGTTCTTAGAAGGATGCTGGTTATTATCGTTTGCATTTATTCTTTGGACAGTTTATCTGATGAATCTTTATGCCACCCTAATTGATTAAGGTGTGGGAGATTGAGTAATGAACAGTTTAGGTACATTTCTTGCCCTCAACCACCTTAGGTTTTGGTGGAGATAAACTGAAAAATGGAAACTACGCAGGAACTTCAGGTAGTCGTAAGTACTAGAAAAGATACTACAGGGGTAAGGAGCTTCGTGTTATCAGGAAAGACTTGCCAAAGTGGTGATGGCTTGGATGAGACTGAATGTTTGGAATGAGCTATGGGGAGATCTGCTGGAAGTTTCTAGTACCGTTGCGCAGCAGATCAAGGAAAAATTAGTTTGGCATGTTTCAAGGATGAGGAGAAGCCAGTGTGGCAAGAGCAGAGTAAGCCTAGGGGAGAGTGAAATTTAGGGGACAGGGGTTGTGGGCAACGCCGGAGAGGTGGGCAGGCGCTGCATCATCTGTATCCCTTGTGGGAATTGCCAGCAGGTTAAAAAAGATACATGTTTTGTAAAACCCTCCTTGTTTTCATTTAAAGGGACTCAGATTCTAACCAGATTTCTGCTTTTTTTTTTTTTTTTTTTTTTTTTTTTGATTGTGGAATCATTGCAGTAATTCATCATATGTGTATATATGCATATTTTTATAAATATGTATTTCTGTATCTTTACATTTGTTTTTCTCCTCCTGTGGTCTTCTTAATGAAAAACTCTTCTTTCCTCCAGCACTGAATCCCTTCCACTGATTTTCCATTTCATTGTTATTATGTGCAGGACTCAAAGTCTCTGCTTATCTTCAACTCTTCTCCAGTATTATCTTTACCTGCTTTTCATTTGGAAAACCCTAGCAGTTGGTCCCTGCTCTATCCAGCCCAAGTGCTGTGAAGCTGCGTGGTTAGGTAAATTGTCCTTTCCATTAGAGCTTGTATTGCTGACCAGGGTCACTTGTCTGCCATTGTTTAAAGAGCCTGCTGTCTTTCAAGTATGGTGTGTATACTGTGATTCTTCTAGCATCCTGCATTTTCAGCCGTGAAAGAGACTTGTACTTAGGGCCACTGAGCTAGGACTGGTGTAGCTCATTAGGCTTCCTCCAAAGTCCACTTTATTCTGCTCCACCACCTGCTTCCTAGTTAGTACTTAACATTTGTTTCATGACGTGGCATTTTAGAGATTATTTGACTTGACTTCCTCACTTTAGAGATGGAGCTGTGGAGGCCCAGAGAAGTTTAAGGATTTTCAAGATATATCACAAGCAATGACCAGACTGATGCCAATCTTTACCCTGATTTTCCTCTGTGTATGTGTGTTTCCTCTTATTTCCTTCCTGAAAATCCCATAACAAGGATTATCTATATAGAGAGAAAAATATTATTTCAATAGCAAGAATATACTATGTATAAAGTCAAAAGATAACTTTTAAAAGATAGTGCTTCTTGAGCTACAGTGTTTTATTTTCCTATACTTTTCTGAATAATGAGCTGGTGTAAATTATACAGATCAAATTACCTGGTATAAATTATCCTTAGTTTTTGTTGGAAAGAGGCTGTGGTTTGACTTTTAATATTTTTAATTTCAAAAATGTTTACAGTGGACTTAAAATTTGCTCTTTTTTCACCTTTGCCTTTATGCTTAAAAGTATAGGAATATTGCGTACAAGTTTGCTGGCTCAGAGTTTCTGACAAGTAGAGCTTCTTACTAAAATAGAAGAAGTCGTTTTGTCGGCTCAATGATATAATTTCTCTTTCTTAGAAGTATGTTATAGTTAGAAGTAGCTATCAGTTAATAAAATTTTATTCAACTGGTTGATAAAATTTACATTGTCTTGAATTTAAAAAGTGGCCATTATATCTAAGTTTCACTTACTTTAGTAATTATGACTGGAATGTATTAGATGAATATTAACACACTAGTAAATAGATTAATGTGCTTTCTGGAAGGCTTTTTGGCCAGCCATCTTGGTGGATATTGTCTTTTTCATTAGTCAAATTAAAATAATGTGAATGGAATAAGCATCTTCTTTCTTAAATGTTGAAAGATAATTAGATTTAGACAAAAGACAGCTTTTGTTTTTTAAGCCAAAAATGTCAGAACTGGATATTGTGACTGAGTACTCTTTTAAGATTGTTTGTGTAGTTGATGTTCTTTTTTTCTTTTTTGTATTTTAGGGAAGGGCCTACAGGGTGTTCAGGATCTCACTACTAGATCGGACTCATAGTGATTCACCTGTTTATAGCCTTCCAGCGGCTGGCATTATAGGAGCATGCCACCATGCCCAGTCTCAAATGTCAGCATGCCCTGGGGGCGGGGCCAGCACAGCAGACCTGGGGATTGAACCCCTGGCCCCTGGCCCTGCACAGGTGCTTTAATCCACAGAGCT